AGAAAAGTGCCGTTAGCTGTCTCTCCTTCCTACTGCTCTGATAATGCACCAGCGCAAGATTATATTCATCATCTTCTACGTAGGCTTCTACCTTCCCAGCTACTTAAAGACAGCGTTTGGATTGAAACATGTTTGAGGCCTCCCACAATCTCTGCACCCCCATTTTTTCTTGTGCTAATTTAAAAGAAAGTATTTGGATCCAATAAATGTTTAAGATAATAATAACATAATTATCATTAATATAACATTATATAACAGATGTTAACAATATTTCAGATAATTAATTATGATTTGGAAAGTCATACAATTTTCTAACATACTGTATGGCGCTTAGTCTTTGTGTATCTTATTAAAGGTTGCAAAATTCATAGCTAATTTCTTTTACCCCTTACCTCCATGCGCTCTTCATTTTCTCCATATTATAACAGCTTTTTATATTTCTTACCTTCTTTTCTTTGTCACATACTGGACACATATCTCATTGTCTTCTAGTAAACTAAATTTTTATTGGGCTATGTTGATTCTACAATGCATTCCATTTATTTTATTTTTTATTTCAGTGCATGTATTTTACGTTTCCAAGATTCTGGTTTTGTTTATTTTGCATTCACTTTTCTCCTTTCATCCTTCCTGATTTGTTTCAAAATTTCCTGTTCTTTTAAAATAGAAGTTATACTTCTATTTCATTAAATTTTCAAGTGTGCATGTGTATGTTGCAAGACTTTTCTTATCCGCAATATAAATTCCACCTGTAACAAGTTCCTATTTCTATGGTAGTTTGGAGTTATTTTTTTTTAACATTAGACTTAACTATTTGGATCTCTCTCTCTCTCTGTGTCACACAAATAAACAGACAAACTCATTTACACATTATATTCTGTCTCCCACCATCTGTCTCCCACTATCTGTGCTTACCCTTTCTGTCTAGCAGCTTATAACTTCCTCTCAGCAGACGTCTGGTCTTCAAACTCAAAACTGGTTCCCATGATTCATGACTTGAGTTTTGTTCCCCATTCAGATATTGTGGACATAGCAGGTCCACAGCCAGAAGACAGTTTGTCTTATTTCCTTTGCAGTAATACTGAGCCTTTCTCCTCAAATTCCTGACCTCAAAACTTCCCATTAAAAGCTTAAACACAGATATCAGTTTGATTAATATGTATTAGCCCTTTGAATAAGGCAAAAGCCCACCACATCCTCCAATGTCACATAAAAGGTCTTGCTCCAGTTCATCTTTATCTCTGGGAAGCTGCTGCCCTCTGCCCCAGTGACAGAGCCTGTAGTTCAGATCCACCCATTCTGCAACATTTCACCTGTTTCAGATCTGCAGATCCCCTTATCTAGAGTTTCTTGTCACAGAAAACTTTTCTCCTAACATGTAAATACACATGTATTTGATATGCATACTATTAGTCTTTGGTGTGTGTCTGGAGCAGAAATTGTTTAAGATTCTTCCACAAGTTGGTCCAGATTTATGCACTTTTTTTGTCGCATAACGTCCTCCATCATTTTTTTGCTTGTTTTGGATCCCACAACCATGATGCTAAGTTTGTCATCATCCTGGTGAGAATAAAGTAATATTTTATTGCTGTCTATGGATTAGGTATGGAAGTGATCATCTCCTCCCGTATTTGTTAGCCATTAGACTTCCCATTGCTGTGAATGTTCAAATCAACTGCTGATTTCCGGTCTACTTTAGTGCAAATGTTATTGAGTGCTTGCCATATTTAGGTTATTTCTGGAACGCAGTGAGTGGATCATTTGCTTAACAGAAGCAGATCTGTATTTGCAAGTATATCGAGAGTGGGATGACAACAGTGTACTCATTAATATGGTGTAGTAGAACCACAAGGTGAAGTCTCCTTAGTGGTTTTGTGCTGATTTTTGAAACTTTTGAAATTAAAAATTATTTTAATTCTTATTATAAAATATATTGTACACACAAGAGAATACATCTCATTAAATATTAGCACATTTAAAATAAAATGTAATAACCCAGTGATCATCACATATATAGGAAAATATACATCAGCAATCCATTCAAACCCCTGGTGGCCTCTTCCTACATTTCCCAGAGAGCTACATTTTTAAATTTGTTTCAGTCAATCCTTTGGTTTCTTTATAACCTTATCATAAGTGTTTGTATCTTCAAATATGTGTGTGTCTCTTTTGAGCTTTATATTCAAAGAATCACACTGAAAGTGTTCTTTTGTCTTTTCTTTTCTTGCCTTTTGTGCTGGGATATGCTGATGTGCTGATGTTCATAAATCACTTAAAAGGATAGTAACTTCTGTATAGTTTTACGTTGTTTAAACACAATCTACTCAGGTCTTTTTCCTCTAATTTTCTGCAATTACAAATAAGAGTTCAATGAGTGTATCTGGACAAGTCTCCTTGTGAAAGTAGAAATTGTTTTACAGTGAACACTTAAGACGAAAATAAATGATCGTAGAACCTTTACCAGGTAATTCCTGATTATTTTTCAGTGATTGCACAGATTTATACTTCTACCCCCAATGCATCCGAGTTCACTGTGTTTCACATCATTGTCCAAACTTGGTCTGTTCACTCAATGAAGTATTTGACAAAAAATAGCAAGTGTGGAATACTACCTAATGCTTTCATTTTCATTTCCATAATTATTAATTATACTCAGTGGTATTTGATATGTTTATTGGTCATCCACAATTTCTGTTACACTATTGTTCATTCCTTTTGCACACTTTTTTTCTAGTGGGTTGTTTGCCTTTGTTTTGATGGTTCCTAAAGATTTCATATATATTTGCTTGCTGATTCAGTCACTCATCTACCTGTCTAGGTGACCTTTCCCTTTGAATGGCTCTTAAACATCTCCGACATCATAAGTCCAAACCTGTATCCTGATCCCCCATCCCATACTGCCCCAGCACCTCCTTCCTCAGTACTTTGAATGGCAGTGACGTTTTTCAGTGCCTCTAGCCCAAAGCTTTGAGGTCACCCATGAGGATTCTCACTGCACACGCTCTGTGTCCCGTCCACCAGGTTTTCTGTTGGTTCTACCTCCAAACACACCAAGAATCTGGTGACTTCTCAGCACCTCCACAGCTACCACTCTGCTCTGAGCTGCCCATAACTTTCACTCAAATTTCTGAAATGTTTGCCTAATCTCCCTTCTTCAGTCCATGTCCCTCAGCAACCTACCCTCAACAGAGTAGCCCGAGTCCTATGTGAGAGTCAGATCATGGCACTCCCCTGCTCAAAGCCCTGCAACAGCTTCCCAGCAACCTTGGAGCCAAAGCCATGGTCCCCATGAAGGCCTCCAGGACCCTACCAGTGTAGTTCCTACTTACCATCTGACCTCATCTCTCACTGCTCTCACCTTCTCGCTCTTCCTTCCAACCAAACAGGCATCCGTGTGATTCTAGAACACACTGTCCACAGTCATGCCTGAGGGCTGGTGCACTTGGAGGTTTCTCTTACTAGACTGCTCTTTCTCCAAGAATCTATGGGGTGAATTCCCTCATTTCTTTCCAGTCTGTGCTCCAAAGTTAGCTACTCAGTGGGGCCTAGCATGAGCTCCCCACTATCACCACTGTCACTCTTGATTGGCCTCACTTTTGTCCCACTTTTCCTTTCACTGTAGCACTGATGATCTTCTAACATACAATAGAATTTACCTATTTATTAATGTTTACGTTTAGTATCTGCCTTTCCCACACACACATGCACTCAACCTAAAAATATAATGCACCCATAAGCATTTTTGTCTTTGTTCTTCACTGATGCATCCAAAGTGCTGAGGACGTTGCTTGCCATATTGTACTTGCATTCAACTGGGTAGATACTAGTTGAGGGATAAACGAAAGTCATGTATATAGAGCAGCACACACAAGTGTACATGGTGATGAGTATAGGAAACTCAGGATCCAACTACTTAGGAATAAATTCTGACAACATTGACAGGCTATCCCATTTGCTGTATTTTTGGGAAAATAACTGAAGCTTTAGTTTCCTTATTGCAAAATTGAGGATAAAATATATCAGTGTTGCCACGGAATAGTCAGATGAGACCATAATTATTTTGTTTTGTAAGGCATTCTTTTGAGAAAGGTTAGAATTTTCTCTTTACCTTTCATGGTCTTAAACTTTACAAATATGCCCATGTGTAGATTTTTTTTTTACTATATTATGTTTGGCATTGCATATCAATTTTGAGGGGGAAATATAATCTTGCTTCAAATGGGAAAAAAATTTCATTATTTCTTCAAATATCTCCTCCTGTGTATTTACTTTTACTTTATTTTGGTGATGCTTATTATGTTAAAGCAATTTGTTTATCTGGATGTTGTCTGAGAGGGTTACACTATGTGACAATTCAGCAGAATAATCAGTAACTGGTTATGTCTGTTCTGTTAATTAGCACTTTTGTTAGTTATATATTCTTTAACAATTAATTTTTGTATCTAGCATTTTCATCCAGTTTTCCTTATACTTTTTTTCCCTTTGTGTTTCTTATAAAATCTTCATCCTTAACTTCCAGAACCTGTTTACTGTTTGTTTTAAATTTTACTTTATGGTAAATTAATCATTTTTTATATGGCACAAGACTTTTGTTTTACTTTATTTTTAGTTTGTTTTTCTCAGATATCTCTTAATTCCCCAGATATATTGCCTAACATACCTGTAAATGTATTTCCGTGACTAAATATTAAATGCAGACCACAATTTATGTCCCCTTCTACAATATGTCTTCAGTCATATCCCTACAAGTTTGAAAAGTATCTCCTTCTTTTTCATACATCTTGATATATTTCTTTTTACATCTTCCTAAACCCTATAGCAATTTAGAAGACTTGTTCTCAATTTCTAAATGCATAATTCTTTCTTATTTTTTCCTTATAAATATTTAATCTATTTTAACTTATTTATGGGTTGTAATCAATAGTCACTTAATAAATTGTGTATTTGTGTAGCTGAGTTATTCAAAATCTTTACATCTTTTGTTGTTGTTGTTGTTGTTGTTTTGCTCTATGAAGAAATTCACTTTAACACTTACAACTTTAAGACTTTGCATACGTTACAACAGTGCATTAGGGATACAAGCTGTAAAACACTTTCCATTCCTTTGGATTTTGCATATGATGGGTTTGCATCAGTCACTGCAGGTAGATTGAGCAAGCTTTGTTTTTGTGTTTGTTTTTTTAAACATGCATTCAACTAGATATGATTCTGAATAGATTAATACTCCCTTTTTATCCTTATAGTTAGCTAAAAAATTGCCAGGCAACCCACAAAACAGGATTTTCTGTAAGAACAACCCAGAGTCAGCTGGAGAATCATGGTGCTGGGACCTGCTGGGTGGGCCGCAGGAGTGCTAGCTAAGTGTCAGAGCATTAGGAAGAAAGTCCGGGCTGGAGGCGCCAGGCCTGCAGCACCAGCTGTGGAACCTCCATTATGTGAACGCACAGCTCCATCCTCAAACATTTGCAGGGTGATCACCACGGAGGGGGCACGTAGCTGTAGGTGGGTGTTCCGGGGGCCGGATATGTGGGCACCTTGACTCGGTGAGGGGCGACAGGAGTTGGGGAGTGGGCAGTCAGCAGGGTACCTGCTGACATCGCCATAGTGGTCCCAGCCACCATGCCCATGGTGACCCCGTTGCCTGTAGGTGGAGGGATAGGTGCAGGGTACACCGTCATCGGCATGCCATTGGGTTGCACCACCGTGGTGTGGTGGACGACGTGAGGAGGTGCTGCGTACAGGGGTTGTGTGCAGTATGTGCCTTGCTGTGCGTATGGGCTCTGCTGGGGGTAGGCACTTCGCACGGGGTACACGGCGGTCTGGTAGGGGTTGGGGGAGGAGGAGTATGGTGGCACTGCCCCACTGGTGGGGGAACAGGACACTTTGTAAGGTGTGCCAGGAGTGTAACCTGTTTGGAAGGTGGGGTTCGCTCCAGGGTACATGTTGGGGGAGTAGGTGGGAGCCGCTGCTGCGTAGCCCATGGGGAAACCAGCTGGATAACCAATTCCTTTGGCATTTGCATAGGGAACCCCAGAAGAACCAGGGCTATAAACAGGATTCATGATTTCAAGAACATGACATCCACAACCACGGCTAAGACAGAGGTCCAGATCAGCGCTGTCCAACAGCACTTTCTGCAGCGATGAAGCTCATCTCCATGTGGGCTGTTCGATAAGCAACCATCAGCTAAAAGTAACAATCGCTCCCCGCGCCGCCGCGGGCGGCCTGGGCCTCGCTGACCAGCGCGACGGCCGGGGGAATGCAGCCAGGCCTGCTCCGATGCGGGGGCCGAGCCGCGAGGGCCAGTCTCCGCCTCCGCCGCGGGCCTCTCCCCTGCTCCGTGCCCGGCCCGCCTCTCCGCAGCCCGCCCGACCCGCCCACGCTGCTACATCTTTCGTTTTTATATATTCTTTGATATTTTTGTTTTTCTCCCAACATTGGAGTATGAAAATTATTTTATAAATGAATAAGTTGAAAGACTTATATACAGTCAATGCTCATATTTCTATCTTCATTTAACTGTTTTTTATTTGTTTTATCACATATCTATATATTTATGAATGCCTTTCTCCATTTACTCCATTTTATTTATTTATTTTATTTGTTTCAAAGTGAATTTCAGACACTGGTGCACTTTAGCCCCTGAACATCTGAGGATAGATATATAATATTAACTAACTAGAGTTGTTTGCTTATTTTTAAATTTCATATCTATATTTTCAATTAAAAAAATTGGTATGTAAAACTACATATGCTATATTTTTAATTAAATACAGTCAGATACACAAATTTAAGTGTACCACTCAATGAATTCTGGCAAATGCATACACCCACGTAGTGTGTTGAATTTATCCTGCAGAAAATTTCTACCTCCTATGCCCATTCCCGTTAATCCTTGCCCCAAACCCCAGAAGCTTCAACATTGTTCTGACTTTTTACCACCTTGGATTAGTTTGTTTTCTGGACGTTTATACTAGTGGAGTTCTATGGCATCCAGTTTTGAGTAAGAATTCTGTCATTCTACATGTTTTTGAGATTCACCCATGTTGTTGTATGTATAAATACTTGATTTGTTGTTGTTGTTTAATTTAAATTCTTTTCTTTTGAGAGATAATCTTAGAGTCATATGCTATTGTAAGATATAATGCAGAGAGATACTAAGTAACTTTTACCCATCTTTCCTCAAGGATGACATCTTACAAAACTAAAGTACAATAATTATAACCAGCACAGAGACATTGATAAAATTTATCAATATTTCTCAGATTTTCCTAGTTTTACTTTTCTCAAAAGTATGTGTGTAGGTGTGTGCATTTAGTTCTATGTAAGTTTATTATGAATGTAGGTTAGAGTGTCCTCCACTGTGGTCAAGATATAGATCAGGTTCATTACCATGAGAGTCCATCAGTTTGCCATTTACTGCCATACCAACACACCCTCCCCTAATTCGTGGAAATCATTAATTTATTCTCAACTCTATAATTCCATCATGAATTACATGAATTTATGTATATTACATAAATATTATATGAGAGGAGTTTTATACACTATATAATTTTTCAGGATTGGCTTTTTTTCACTGAGCATAATTGTCTGGAGATTCATTCAAGTCATTGAATGTAACAATTCCAAAAACTTAGACCATTTTTAATTAATTTGTTTTTATGTTGGAAATGGAAACATCTTGTATATTTTTTAACACTAGAAAAGAGGGGACTGGTGAAAGAGAATGTTGACTAATATAAAGTTATTACCATGCAAGCTTTAGTTGAAATTATTCGGCTTAATATAATAAATTTATAGAATAAATTTAAAAATCTCAAACTACGCTTCAACATACTAAACTTTTGAGATGGAATGAAAATAGTTAATAAGAGAAATTTTATAGGAGCTAATGTCTGCATTAAAAAAAACCTTAAATAAACAACCTAACCTTGAAGTTTCCAAAGAACTAGTAAAAGAATAGATTAAGTCCTAAGTTTGTAGTAGAAATAAATAAAACTGAGACTAAAAACAATAAAAGAGATGAATTAACCTGAGAAATGCTTTGTTTTAAGGTAAACAAAATTGGCGAAAATTTGGCTGGACTAATCAAGAAAAAAAAGAAAGAGGGGTCAAAAAATACAATCAAAAATGAAAGATTACACATTACAAATGATACCACAGAAATAAAAAGGCCCATTACATATTATTATGAACAACTATATGCTAACAATTTAGATGATCTGGAAGAAATGGATGAATTTCTAGAAATGTAAAATCTACCAAGACTGTCATGAAGAAACAGAAATGATACCTACATATACAATGTAATATTATTCAGCCATAAAAAAAGAGTGAAATCTTGCCCTTTGTGACCATGTTGTTGGACCCTGAGAACATTATGCTAAATACAATAAGTCAGACAGAGAAAGACAAATACTGTAGGATCTCTCTTATATGTGGAATATCTATACAAACACACACTATTTATACACACTATGTACTATA